GGGAAAAGAATCTGTCCAGGAAGTTTTGTTCAGGACTTTTTTTTTTCGTTTAGTTTTCGTCTACGGTGGGTTGTTTTGCTCCTGCGCACATCCCAGGGATGTGGTGCGAGTGGAAGGCTCAGGGCTGAGGGGCCGCCCAGGAAGGAGGGCGTCCAAGGAGGGCATTTGCTTTGATAAAACCCCTTAGTTGGCGTTCTCTCGGCGTTCGCAGGGGCTAAGACTTGGTTCCGTGTCTACACGTAAAGCCAAGATATGCTGCCTGGTCATCTTGCTCGAGCTGGAGAGCTATTCTGGAAAGCTCTCCCGAATACGTCATGATCCTTGCTCTCGCTGTGCGCGGTCCCGCCCGTACGGATTTCGGTTTTGGTTTTTAGAACTGTAAAACGGCCCTGTGGGAAACTAGTTCTCGGTCCCGAGGCAGAGGCTTGCAGGGGCAAACCTGAACCAGCCTGACACATGCCACTAGACGTTGACCGAAAATCATTTTGATCATATCAACTTACTTGCCTTTTTTAGGCAAATGGGATGTTTGTGTGTGCACCCGGTTTTCATTGGTCTGTGACATCCACCTCTGCAGGAAAAAAAAAGGGGGGGGGAGTGCTCAATCTTTTACTCTATCAAAAGTGATCACTGTTCAGAACTCACGCTCCTTTCAGTGGATGTGAGTGAAAGTTAGAGAATAAGTTCCCTGGATAAGTTAGAGAGGGGAGAAAAGGTTTTTCTATTTTTAAAACCGGTGGCTGTCTTAGTTGAACAGGTGATGATATCTCTGTTGACTTTATTTAAGCTGCGCAGGTGCAAATTGGCTATCCAAAGGTGAATTCTGGAGCCGCCTCCCTGTGAGCCGTTGCCATGGCTGCAGGGAGAGGGAGCTGACGAATTGTGGGGCCAATAAACTTAACAAGGCCAGGCCCCTAAGATACCTGAAACCTGAAGTCTCCATAGTAATTGACTACTCAGGTTTATGTACCTTGGCTTTCACCATTCCTACCCTGATCCAAGATTGCTATTAATCGATACAGGCACACATAGGCGTGTCCATTTCTGTATTGACTAACACAGGTACACTCACAACCTGTGTAGATTTTCCAGTTACATGGTGCATCTGGAAGCACAGCTTTGGTACCGTTTGCTACACAATTTGATTTGTAAATTATTGCTTCTCTTACCAGTTGTCTTGTCTTAACCAGTTTTGAACATTTCATTACTGGCTTTTATCCCTTTTCTCATAGGTAAGCCATGATCTTCCCCTAGAGTACCTTCTGTCTAAAACGAACACTCCATTTTTTTGTGTATCAATCTGATGTCAAAGCACTGAGTTGAAGGACATTCCAAAAGAAAAAGAGTTGCAGCTTTGCATAATCCCCATATAGCAACAACCACTCGTGCCTCTGTAGAACACTAAAGTATTTCAGGGACCTCCCGCAGCTGCAGTGCTAGGAGCCAGCCACTTTGCTGGCTGCAGGAGGTACCGCAGAGCCTCGGTTTCTCCTGTGATATGAAGAGAATCAAATCTATCTTACAGAGTTCTTGTGAGGATTGCAGGATATGCACCGTGTGAACTGTACAACTACTGATAATGACATGCAGTTCTTAAGGCCTTCGTTGTGTGCTCATACTGTCCGACTCTGGGAGAGGACTTTCATTCAAGATTTTTCTACTTCATGGGAAGAACAGATGGACACACTCAGATCCAAAATAAACCTTAAATAGCATAGTTTCATTTTTCTTAATGTAGCTAGTATGCATATAGACTTTTTTTTTTATAGACTTATTAGCATATAGTGTCAGATGTGAGGGGCACTCAGGGCGACCAGCTCACACAGTTCGTCTTGATCTTTGCTGGTTTTAGCACTTCATGTTTCCTGGACAGCCCCTCTTATCCCAGGCAAACCAGAACAATTGGTCACCCATGGATGGGTTTTCAGCTGGTTGAGACCTGGCAGGAAGAACGGAAAAGGACATGAAGACTTCTTCAGTACAGAGGTGATTGGGTCCTCCGCAGCTGAAAGCTACTAAGTACAAGAAAATGGGTGCCCTCTGGGATCAGCAGTTAGCGTAATGGCTATGTCGCTGGACTCCCATGTAGTCGAACGCGGTCCGAGTCCTGGACCCGGTGGCTTAAACTCATGCAGGGCATGTGTGCATGCATGCCCAAGATCCGGAGAGGAGAATGGAGGAGAAGGGATTGTGGTGTGACCATCGCCCCTGGGGGGGGGATTTCTCACTTTCTGTCTCTCTGTCTCTCTCTGTCGTTCTGGCTAGCGCACACACCCTATAGCAAAAACCTCTCCAAAAAAAGAAAGGAAAATGGGTGTCCTCGTATGAGATGAACGTGGGTGACACCTGAAACAGCACATTCAAAGTCAAACTGATATTATCCACCTTTAATGTACTTCCTTCTCTCAGTTCCCACTCATGCTTGGTTTTGTTTTTGATATTTCTTAAATTTTCTGTCTTTAGAAAGCTTATTTCATTCTTCAATGAATGACAGAAACAGAAAGACAGCACCCTCAACAAGGTCTAAATGCCACAATCCACCCCAAGCTCCAGCCAGGCTTGGATTGTGGGCACGTGTGTGCTCAGCATGTTCAGGGAGGTCTCCAAACCCAAATTCAGAACCTTCTCATGTGAGTCAACCTCATGGAGCATTTGCATGGACACAGACCAACCCTCTAAAATTTTCTATTTAATTGTAATTTTTGTTTCTGGTAAAGGCTTTACCAACTTTCAGCCACTGTAGAGGGCAAAAGTGGCTTCTTTTGCCAGTCAGATAAAGTCTAATGCTACTGTGGTTGTTGCTCATATTCATAACTGAAGACATGCTATATTTCATTTAGAGGTCGATGAAAATAAAGATGGCCTATTTTCCTATCCAAGTTGATGAACTCTGAATTTTTCCATGGAGTCCAGGTTAAGGACTCACTCTCTGTTGCCTCATTGCAGTTCTCTTTATTTTCTATCCCCTTTCACATTCTTTCACCTTTCCATTCTTACTGACACCATTATAATTCAAGTTGCCATCACCATTTTTCCTCTTTTAAAAGTCTTTATTTCTCTTTCAGTCTATTTCTGCAGTTGTGACAAAATATCACAGACCGGGTCATTTATAAGCAACAGGAAATGTATTTTTCACAACTCTGGAGGCTGTGAAGTCCAAGAACAAGGCACTGGCAGATTGGGTGTCTTGCGAAGGCTCTCTGCTTCCAAGATGGCGCCTTACGGAAGCATGCTCATGTAGTGGAAGACCTAAGGGCGAAAGGGGATGAACCTTGAGTTCTCACATGGCAGAAGAGATGGAAGGGCCAGCAGCTCTCTGAAGCCTCTTTTATAAGGGCATTCATCCCATTCCCAAAGGCAGAGCCCCTACAACTTAATCATTTCCCAAAAGGCCCCACCTCCATGCCATCACTTGGGTTTAAGTTCCAACATATACATTTAGGTGGCATGTATACTTTAAACCATAGCAATCTTCCCACGCCAGTTCCATCCATGTTCAGCTGATGCAGTAATTTTTCTAAAACGCTCTTTTGACTATCATTTTCCTGCTCAAAGACCTCCATAGCTTCTCTTGGCCTATAGGATTAGTCCAGATTCCTGCAGCAGTTCCTTCAGAGCCTCTACAATGTGGCCTTTTCATCCTCATAATGTACTACCCTTGCGCCTCCTAAGTTTCTGTCAGAGGAATTGTTCTTCCACCTTTGTGTTTTCTCCCCTCCATCCTTTATTCATGTTCTTCCTTGTCCTAGATTTCTGAGTTCCATCATCTTTGGTCCAACAAAGTTTGAACATCCCAAAAGGCTCACTTCAAATGCAAAAATCAACTAAAATAAACTTTTTCTCCTTTGGGCATTTTATTTCACTTTCTTCTGTTACCACTTCCTACTATTATTACGGGTACTTGATGAGTCTTTGGCAAATATTTGTCAAGTGCCCCTTGAGAGTGTGGACTTATACTAGGGGCCTTGAGGATATAAAATGAAACAGATTTGGACCGTGTCATTTTTTTCGTTGTTACTTAGTTTTTATTTCATAATCATAACCCTAACTTTGCAATTCAGCTAGATTTGGAGGGAAATAAGGGAAATATGGAACCCAAAGACCTGCAGCGGGAGCACAGGTTACAGGATATAGCTAGCGGGCAGATGGGGTGGAGGAGTGCTCACCTGAGCTACAGAAGGAAGGATCTGGTGGTTAAGAGAAAACAAGTCAAATTCATTAGAGTTGTCCATAGTCAGCAATGGTGATCTTGCTGGTCTTGCCATTCTTGGACCCAAAGTGCTCCATGGCATCCACAATGTTCATGCCCTCTTTCACCTTGCCAAAGACCACATGCCTCCCAACCAACCACTCAGTCTTGGCAGTGCAGATGAAAAACTGGGAACTGTTTGTGTTGGGCCCAGCATTTGCCACGGACAAGATGCCAGGACCTGTATGTTTCAGGATGAAGTTCTCATCCTCGAAAGTCTCTGCAAAGATGGACTTGTCCCTCATATCATGATGGCATGTGAACTCACCACCCTGACCCATAAACCCGGGAATGATTCTGTGAAAGCAGGAATCCTTATAACCAAATCCTTCCTCTCCAGGGCTCAAAACATGAAAATATTCTGCTGTCTTAGGAACTTTGTCTGCAAACAGCTCAAAGGAGACATGGCCGCAGGGCTCACCCACGACAGTGTTGTCATCAAAGAACACGGTCAGGTTGACCACAGGTGAGGGTGAGAGACTCAGACAGCGGCGTCTGCAAAGCCTGGACCTCAGTTTTTGAAGGAGTTATTTTAGGTTAGGTGGTAACGTGTTTTCAAGAGAGGAAAAAATGACAAGTGTTTCAGCAGTCCAGAGAGAGTGTTCGGTCTCCTTGAGGGATGGAAGAACCTGTGTGATCGAGGTGGCATCCGAGGTAGCGTGGCGGATCAGCGCCTTGTGGATGTATGTGCAGAAGGTGATCCACACAGAGGTCACCCAGACCATAGGCAAAGGGGCAGCAAAGAGCAGAGTGTATCAGGGGAGAGGAAGAAGTTTGGTCTAAGGAGCATCATGAAAAACCAGGCTGGTGTCAGATTTGTCCGTACTAGATGATAAATGGCCTCAGACGCCAGGTAAGAAAGTAAGGCTACGCTTTATGCATGGAACCCACTGGAGAGTTTTGAGAAAAGACTGAGAAAATAAAAGGTAATTTAAGAATAGGTAAGTGGTAGTAAAGTGTGAGGTCAGTTTCACAGAGAGAGACTGTAGGCAGAGAGACTAATGACTGCAGTAACAAGAATAGCAGCAAATATTTACTGAGCATTTTTATGACTGTGTCCACAGGACGGTGTTTTTTTTTCTCCCTTTCACACTCTATACGCCAAGTACATGTGCCCTCTGGCAATAAAATAAGTAAATAAATAAATAAATAAGATTAGAGTTTGCATTACTTTAAATTCAATGAAAGGGACCAGCAGGTAGCATAGTGGTTAAGGCGCTGGACACTCCCACATGGCTGACCATGGTTTAAGTCCCGGACCTGGTGGCTTGCTTTCTCACTCCTCCTCTTTCTCTGTCTCTGTCTCTCTCTGTCAAATTAAAAATGAATGAATAAATAAAATAAAAAATAAATAAATTCAATTAAGAACTGACATATAAGCCCAGCAGGTGGCATGGTGGTTAAGGTGTTGGACTCTCACATGGTCAACCACAGTTCAAGTCCTGGACCTAAATGGATTGCTTTCTCACTTTCTCTCTCTTCCTGCCTCTCTGGTGACCACATATGCCCTATAGCAAAATTTAAAATATAATAATGATAATAACAGATAAAATTATTTTTTAAAAAGAACTAACATATATAAATGAAATTTGTCACAAGGTATTTTCCCATGAGATTTAGTGGAGTTGATGTTTAGATCAATGTTTGCTTATGATCTTGGGGAAAAAGTTCATTTATTTATTTTTTGGAAAGGTTTTTGCTGTAGGGCACATGCACTCGCCAGAAAGACAGAGAGACAGAAAGTGAGAAATCACCCTCTCCCCCCCCCCCCGGGGGATGGCCACGCCACAATCTCTTCTCTTCCATTCTCCTCTCGGGATCTTGGGCACGCATACACACTTGCCCAGCGTGAGTTTAAGCCACTGGGTCCAGAACTCAAACCGTGGTCAACTACATGGCAGTCCAACAACATAGCTATTATGCCATCTGTTGATGGCAAAAAGTTAATTTTTTTTAGATTTATTTAATTTTATTTAATATTTTTTAAATTTTGATATAGGACACACATGCTCACTAGAGAGAGACAGAAAAGGGAGAAAGGGAGAAAGCAAGCTACCAGGTCTGGGACTTGAACTGTGGTCGGCCATGTGGGAGTCTAGTGTCTTTTTAATTTTTAAGAATTATTTTATTTAACTTTATTTATTTATTTTATTTTAATTTGACCAGAGAGGGACAGAGAGAGAGTGAGAGAGAGAGAAAGCAAGCTACCAGGTCTGGGACTTGAACCACGGTCAGCCATGTGGGAGGCCAGTGCCCTTAGCCACCACACCACATGCCAGCCCATGGAATCCAGCACCTTTAACCACTATTCCACCTGCTGTCCCCCTAAAATGTTTATTTTTGTTGAAGAGAATATGTAATGATGGTATGAGTTATTTTCAGAACAGTTTACTAGTGAGTCTTCTTGTAGTCAACCACGGTTCGCATCGCGGACCCGGTGGCTTAAAACTCACACCGGGCGTGTGTGTGTGCGTGCGTGCCCAAGATCCCGAGGGGAGAATGGAGGAGAAGAGATTGTGGCATGGCCGTCCCCCCTGGGGGGTGATTTCTTGCTTTCTGTCTCTCTGTCTCTCTCTGTCTGTCTGGCGAGTGCACGCGCCCTATAGCGAAAACCTCTCAAAAAAAAAAAAAAAAGAACGCTGTCTTCTGGAAACTGAGGCTATGTGTACAAAATCTGTGACTTTCTGTAAAGTCCATGCTAAATGGTGCAGAGAGGGAACAAAAGCTGTTATCTGAAAATTTCTTTTGGATATAAATAATTAGCAATGGGAAAACTGGACGACAAACAATATTTAGAAACATCCACAATGCCTTGTTGCAAATTTTATTTTTCAATGAATTAAAAAAAAATTATTTTTACAGAGAGATTTTTGCTGTAGGGAACATGCACTCACCTGAGAGGCAGAGAGAGACTGAGAGATAAAAAGTCAGAAATCACACCCCAAGGGTGATTTCTCCTCCATTCTCCCCTTGGAATTTTAAGTGCATATGCACACACACACACACACACACACACACGTGCGTACGTGCGCACCCACCATGAGTTTTAAGTCATTGTGTCCAGGACTTGAACCACAGTCTACTACATGGTTCATTATCTAAGAGGGACAGAAAGTGAGAAATCACCTCACCTCCAGGATTGATAGCCACACTGCAATTCCTTCTCCTTTGCTCTTTTTTTTTTTTTTTTTTTTTGAAGCCACTGATTTTATTGATCTAAGAAACTTGTTAAGGACAGTGACTGTTTCATCAAAAAAGAAGCCAAACGGCATCAAACTGACCAGAAATGAGGGTGGGGGTGAGGGAAGGGGTCAGTAATCCACTCAGGAAAGCTGGTAATTGTCGCCACGGACCTGGCAGGGGAGGATGGAAGAGAGATGCATGCAAGAGCAAGGATTCCAAAACAGGGGCAGTGGTGATGGGGTAGATTCCCAAAAGACCGTGCAGTAGGTCAGAGGTGGGGATGACAAAAGCAACCTTTTTCTTTGCAGAGGACAGGGGAGGAGTCCCCACTCAGCTGCAAACTCTGGAGACTCAATGCTGGGGGCTGGGGATTTAGGGCTCCCTAGAGTGCATCACAAGAAGTCATCACACCATTCTCGAAGACACTCAACAGAATCCCGGGACTGCTTGGCATTCGTGCCACATGTGTCCTTCAGCCATTCCCAGAAGAGGTCTTCATCTTTCTTTAGCACCAGAAACTGACCAAGGACCACACAGGCCTTGTCAAAGCCCCTCTCCTCCAGCTTCTTGCCCAGGACTTCACCAATCCCAGCCAGGCTCCCCACTGGCTTTTCACCCATGGGCTCTGCCACGAAGTCTTGGTGCTTTTGGGAGGTTGGCATCCTGATCAGGCTTAATCGGCAGCTCCGGTTCCCGTAATGGCTACTCCCACCACCCGGCTGCTGCGGTCAATACCTCAATCCACTAGAACTTTCCCTCCTTCACTCTTCTGTCAGGATTTTGGGCACACACGCACACACGCCTGGTGTGTTTCAAGCTGCCAGGTCTGAGATTCTTACAGCAGTCAACTCCATGGGAGTCCAGCAACATAACTGTGAGGTCATCTCCTGGACCTGAGATTGTGTCTTTAATCTTGGTTTTTGTTACATTTATATTTGCTTGTGTCTTCAATAACTGCATTCATGTGTAATTACAAATATATTTGGCTAAACAAATACAGAATAGCTGAATGAATTAAAATAGTTGGAGGAAAAAGTTTTTAAAAAGAAGGAAAGCTTTCATAATGCAATTTGTAAAAAGGAAAACATTACATTATGTTACTTTTTAAAACATTTTATGTGACGTTTCATACATACAAAATAATATGTTTTTTTAATTGAAATCTTATTTTAGAGCTGTGTGATCCATCTTTTATTCAACATGGATTTAAATACATATATATATGTTTAGTTTGTGCATTAATTAAAATACTACAAAATTATTCCCACATTCTCATTTAAGCAGTTAGCTAGTCCACACAATCATAATTTTCTTAGTTATAAATCTGGTTTTTTTTTTCTTTAAATATTTTTTACATTAATTCACTATACATCATTACAACATACAAAATGAATTTTCCCTCCAGAATACACTGTATATTGGCTCAATCAAGCACATCAACATACATGTTATCAGCAAATAATTTTCCATTTCTTATGTCCTGTATATTTTGCTTTTTTTTTTTTTTTTTGCCATCCTTGATTCCCTATCCCTCACCCTCTGCCGTGTCCCACCCTCCTCCCACATTGTCTCTGGTATCCATGGTTGCTTTCTATGCCTTTTCCCCCCATTTAATTGATTTGCTAATGAACTTAATTAGTCTAGATATTTCCAATGGCAATCTGATACATACATATCCATGAACCCAAGTCTGACTTTAGGCATAAACCTCAGTGAGTAGAATGAACATACTATAAAGTAGTACCTAGCTGGGGCTATATAGCTTACTGCAGTCATCAAATATGCATTTTTTTTTTAATTTCGATAAGAACAATTTTAGTGTTTTTTTTTCTCCTGAAACTTTTTTTTTTAATGAATTTACATTCGTTCCCTGAGTATCATCACAACATACTAAATATGGTTTCCCATCTAGAATAAACTGCATAGAGGCTTAATCATGCATGTTATCATCAATAATATTCCATTTCAAGTTTCATACAAAATAATATGCTTAGTAAATACAAATAATTTGGCATAATATTAAAGTAAACCACAGCAAACCCACCACCCATTCAAATAGCTAGAAAACTAATACTAATACTTTGAAAAATATTTGCGTACTTCCTAATGTTATCTTCCTCTCTTCCCACCAGTTTGAACTGCATTCTCAATTCAAAAATATTTAACTTTGAAATATTTAACTTTATTACAAATCAGAAACAACAGGTCGGGTGGTGGTGCAACTGGACTCAGACGGGAAGGCCCCAGGTTCTCTCAACATGAGCCCCCTTTGTCCCTAAATATGTCAGTGTACGATTCCAGAAATAAAGTCATTCTATTACACAACTATAGTACAATGATCAGAATCAGAAAATGGATACAGCCTCAGGGTCCAACATTGTCTAATCCATGGTCCCCACTTGGCTTTTGCCAGTTGTCTCGATAATGTCCTTCCTAGCAAATAAACCTCTGAAGATGTCATGTCTC